CGCTCCGCGAGCTCCGCGCGGAGCCCGGGCCGCGATCGCCACTCACCGAGGCCGCCGCGGCTCCCGGGCCGCCGATCCGCGTCGCTCCCTCCTTCCCGGGGCCGCCGTGCCCTGCGGCCGCGCGAGGCCACGGGCGGTGCGCGCGGGCTGGCTGGGGCCGGCTCGTCCTCCGCCTGCGCCGCGGTCGCCGTCGCCTCCCGAGTTCGGGGCTCTGCTGCAATGTCTGCGAGGCTGACTTTGAGCGCCTCGCTCGCCTCCCGCCCGCCGCAGCCGCGCTCCTCCCTCCGCCGCCGAGTTCGCGGCGGCCGGGTCCCTCCCCTCGCTGCTCCACGCCATTCAGCTCTTCAGCCAAGTTTCTTAACCCTTTTCTGCCCCTCCCTCCCATTGTCACCCGGGCAGATCGCGTACCCGGCGGCTCGCTGGGGCTGGGCAGCCCACCCGGCTCCTGCAGGCCTCCTCGCCGGCGCTCCGGGTGGGGGACCAGGGGCTGCGCGGCCTTCAAGACAGAGAGAGGACACCGTTGGACCCGGAGAGGAGGGGTGCTTTGCTCCGGGAGCCGGCACCCTGGCTTCCCGGCCCTATCCAGCTAGCGGCCTGGACAGATTGCTCCTAGGGGATCTTCCGTGTCACCCAGGCCGGGGCGAGCGCTGGGGGCACCGCAGGGGAGTCGGGGCGTCCTAACCCTGCTCCAGGGTCCCCACCTAGAAGCTGGCACCTTAAGTGTCTCCCTCCCTCCCATTTCACCCCACAGCACGCGTTCTCTTGGCTCCCTTTTTACCCACCCTCAATTTCCACCTCCTTGGAGTCTGTGTCCTGCTTAAATTCCGGAAGCTACGGCTCTATAACTCTAGGTCATTTTTACCCCGTGCCCAGCACCCAGTAGGACCCAGTAATCAATGTGGCATGATTCCAAGCGGAAAACTGGGAAGGAGACCTGAGGAGTGCAGAGCTCAGCTCCCTAGACGACGCAGGACCCAAGAACCCGGTTTATCTTCAGCTGCTTTGTCCCCAGCAGCGTCTGCCCGCCAACCTGCACCACCCCCAGAAAGGATCTGACCCGACAGGACTAGGTGATGGGCTGTCACTCCTCTAAGCAGCTCTGCTCGCTTCAGAGTCTCAATACATAACAATTACATCACGAAGCCAGGGTGGCGGTGCAGCGAAACCTGGGTTTCCTGCAGCCTCGGGTCTAGCTGAACCCGCCTCTAAATCTGAGGGGGGCTAGCAGATTGGTGAAGCGAGAAAGTGGAGGGAGGAGAGAAAAATACGAAACCGTGATCTCTTCCTCTCCTTGTGTTCTCTGCTCTAAAATCTTATCCTCACCGCTCCCTTCACATCTTACTTGTGAAGCCTCCTTCTAACCCTCCCCCTACCCCAGATGTCACGTTTGGGTTTGACTCTAGTTATCTCGCCGTGGAAAGATTACCAGCAGGAAAAGAGTGTCCGCGGTTACAGAACTTGTTTTTCTTTGACACAGAAACCGCTAAACTCGGTTCACCCTAAACTCTGAAGCGGTATGCTTCCGTTAAAATACTTACTGAACGAGACAGTTTTATGGATAAAGCTACCTACTTTCGTACAAATGTTTTCAAATCCTTAAGAATTTCGGTAGCATTTGGAAACGAGAGTTATTGATGCACAGCAGAACCAAAAATTATCCAAGTGATCAAAGTGTATTCTTTACTGTTATGTAATAGCTCTGTAGCTATTTTTTCAGATTTTTCAAATGAGCAAGGTCTGGAGGATCTTCCCAATCTTGAAAGTGAAAGCAATTTTTCAAATTAATTCGTAATAAAACAGTATCCCAGCACGGTTGTGAGGACGTTAGAAGTATTTTGCTTAATAGTGATGGTGCATTTTAAGAATACTTATTGTCTCTCCTAGTGAGTCACCTATGCAATCTGTTGTCATCTAGTGTAGTGTAAATCTCGTGTAACAGAAGAGCGTTTGCATATGACACAGTTCAAAATCGGCTTAAAGCAAATTAATAAAGGCAGCAGATCTTTGGGAATCATTTATCCTGGATTGACAAAAGCAAATAATTGCAATTAAGTGACCAGCATAATTGAAATTTGGCTCTTTAGGAAAATATATTTAATATTATACAAAGATTTTCTATGTACTATAAATGTGTCCTTTTCTTGAGCAGTTTATTGGGCATTGTTTGGCATTTTTATTGATAATTCAATGTCGGTTTCATTAAAGGTCACCATTGTGGTAGACTGTAGTGGACTCAGCAAATGCTTTCAGTTAACCATAGTGGTACTAACCTGTAATCCCAGGAACTGGGGAAGTTGGAGGGCCATCCAGGACTTTTTAGCAAGTTCAAGGACTAAGTTATAAAATGAGAGACGCAGTTTTGTAAAGCTAAGATGGGAAAAGGAAAAAGGGTTAAAGCACTGGAGTAGTACCTGTAAGCCAATGAGTTCAAGCACACACTCATGCACACACGCAAAGAGAAATTGAGCTTGTATTCTATTTCAAGCTTCCTCTCTTTTGATTGGCCAGTTCTTCTCTGGAACAGACTAAGAATCCAGATAACCTGTCCCAATTAATGCAACGCTAAACTACTTAATAGATTCCATGTAAGAGAATGAAGCTCCCAGCAAGGGGTACATGTACCGCAGTGACAGACAGATATTTGAGCCGCTCAGATGTCACTCTGAAAACACATTATTCTCACTTTTTAACCAGGTCAAGACCTCCCAGCAAGCCAAGTCTTGCCCTGCTTGTCCAATATCAGTGCTGAGACCCGGACCTCTATATGTTAGATGATGCACCAAAGCTCAATATAATAACTAAACTCCTAGACTCTTTTTGATAAGACATTCATGTTAAATTAATTGTGTATCTCATGTAGAATTCATTTCAAAGTACTATGCTAGTTTTGTGTTTATTCTTTCAATATATATATATTGATATATATATGTTGATATATATATATTGAATATATATATATATCAGTGGTGGGACAGTGAGATGGCTCAGGGATATTGCTCCTTGGAACACACTCCATAAAGTTTTCTCTGGACTTTAACCGTGTGCATGGCACATACATCCACACACAGAACACAATTGTTTTCTGCTCCAGAAATTGAACCTCATACATGCTAGTTGGTGAGAGTCTCTCCCATTAAGGCATGTCTCCTAGTGGTTATGAGCTAATTTTTAATTTTCAAAAAAATCAATATCTAAATTTCTAGGCTAAGAGGACCACCTAATGGATGCTGGGGTATATGTCTCTATAGTGATTTGTGTTTGGAAGCCAAGTCTCACAGGAAGCATGTGTAATGTGAAAATATGTCCTTCAGTTTATAAACCTAAACATATATGCATTATAAAAAAAAAAGTCTATCATCTATCTGGAGAGATGGCTCAGTGATTAAGAGCACTGATTACTCTTCCAAAAGACCTGGGATCAATTCCCGCCACCCACATGGCAGCTCACAACTGTCTGTAACTCCAGGATCTGATGCCCTCACACAGACGTACATGTAGGCAAAACACCAGTGCACATAAAATAAAAAATAAGTAGATTTTAAAAGTTTACTAGTCCTCTGGAATTCAGTATTTTAGCTTATCCTCCCATGCATATGTACAGGTAGTCTGAGAAAGACAGATTTTGATGTGCTCTCTACATCTCTCAGGTCATGCATCCTTCTAGCCAGTTTTTGTAGATGGTCAACTTGTCAGCATTCCCTTCTAGAATGAAAGCATATGGGCACAAGCCTAAGCCCCTCTCTTGCTCTCACCTGGCTTCCATCAACACTTAGCCCTGCGATTAGCAAACAGTAGGTATTCTGTTGGTGCTGGCCAGGTCACTGTTGTACCCTAGAGCACAGTGTTTGCTTCTAGCTGGGGTATGAATGTTAGGCCAAGGAACTCAGAAAATGTGTTACAGGGAACAGGGGGCTTCATCTGGCTGATGAAAGGTGAGAAGAATTTGCTAAGTAGGCAGACTGAGAAAGGAGTTCTCCGGGAATAAACAGACTATTAACAGGAGAATGTTATGAGAACCCAGAGATGTGTGCCGAGAAGACGTGAACGTGTTGTGTAATACGTGTATGTGCTTAGCTGATCACATACAAATGGAGCCATCAGTATACTTACACCAATATTGCTTCTTGTGCATGTGATTTGGCCCATAAAAATATGGAGTGAATCAGAAAGATGAGTTTCATGTGTGATTTAAAATTTGCAATAGCTACATTTCACAGATACAAAGAATTGTATTTGCCAATTAATGAAACATCTACAAAGCACTTCAATATGTGTCCCATGAAAAAATTAGATATTTTAACACTTTTATTTTTTTTAACGTGGTTATAGTTATGGCTGGCCTGGAACTCATGATGTGCGCTGGGGCTACAGGCGTGCACCAGTGCGCCCAGGTCTTTTATTCTTTTGAACACCAGGTGTCCAAAATCCAATGCTTTTTCAACTCACAACACTCCCCAGTTTAAACCACTACCATATTGAGTCCTACAGTTCTAGAGAAGGAAGACTGCAGGAAACTGTTAATGGTATCAAGAAAACAATCTGTTGAATGAAAACCTAAAGCTTGTTAAGCATAAGATTTTATTTATCAGTTGCTGGTATTTATACTGTGTTATAAAGCCCACTTTGGCATGTGTAGGCTTTGATGCCAATCAGAGAATCAACAGAGCTGACATTTTATCTACTGTGGCTTCATTAACCATACTGTAGTTACAACTGTTCCTATTTTTATTAACTTTTGGTGGAAGACTCTAAATGTAAAGTGTTTTTATAGCAGAAATAAAATCCTATAAATTTTGGGTTGAATAAGGTAAATGAAACAAAACAAACAAACAAAAAACCCAAACAACCTACTGCTCTAAAACATAATACTACCTCTGAGCCAGTTTCTGTCACCATAGCTCTAGAAGCCTATTGCTGGTACCAGCACTTATGTGTAGACTTCAGAATCCATTCTAACCATGTTGGAGGCAATCACCTATCCCAGTGGGCCACAATGGGTGCGTGGCAGGTTACTGAGACTGAAAAAAGTCTGAAGAACCAAAATGAAGACATTTAGACCCCTCAGTTGCAGCTTTCTGTGCAGTTTTCTCTAATGGACACGAGCCCTTTCTAATTCAGTGGGGCTTGAGTCCCAAGGTCTTCCAAAACCACGGTCCTTCCATTTCCATATTAAAATGGATGCTGAAAACTTAGTCTCAAAGATTTCAAGTCTGGGAAGGATTGCCTACAAGCAGCCAAAAGTGTGCAAGAAAAG